ACATACACATACATATACATACATACACATACATATACATACATACATATACATACATACATACACATACATACATACACATACATATACATACATACATACATATCATACATTTATAGCGATCTTCTAGGGCATGAATAAATTAACTAATTAATTAACTAATATTCTGATTCTACAGTTGATTAATGAGAACACCTTTGCTGTTAAGAACTGAGTAAAATAATTTTAATATTTATGGTATTGTCTTGTAATTAGTGTGACTATTTTATAAGGAAGATGGCTAGAAATAAGCCTCTAATGCTTGGATGCTTGCTTAGTGTTCTGTCAGTTCCTGACACAAATACTCAATGATTTCAGTGTCTATTCCAACAAGTCTTAATAAGGGGTGGGATGGTCAGTCCTCATATGTCAAGAAAAGTTAGAAACAGTTGATGTTTGGAGTAATTTTAATTCCTATATCAGAGCTACTAATCAATACTAAGTTTATATTTAATAGGAAATTAACACACTGTATATTGATTTAAAATGTGCAGAGTTGAATAAACTGAAATTTAAAATAAATGCAATAATTTATTTTCTACTTTACGACTTGCTAATTGAAGGAATGCAATGGAAGGTTAGGCTGGATTTTAAATTTCAAAAGGCAATAATGCTTTAAACCTGGTACACATATACATTTTCTACAATGTAAAGGAAACAAATGGTTTGTACATTATGAAGCTGTCTGTCCAGGTGACTTAACTGCCACAATTTGACTCATTCTGAATGTTTTAAAATGAAAAAAATAATCAAAGCTGGAAACGTTTATTATTACCTTATATTCAAAATATGCCCAATGTATAGGGTGTGGTTATTAGCCATGCTAATAACTGTGTGGTTATTAGCTGGCTCTTTAATCACCTCCCCCTGAGGGGGGAGCAGCCTTACCAGGCCACAGAGGCAGATAATGCAGCCAGTCCAGATGAGACCTGATAGGGTAGGGTCAGATGGAAGGGGAGGAGGACCTCCCCTATCAGTGGACTGGGGGAGGGATAAGGTAGGAGAAGAGGGAGGGAGGATGGGATTGGAAGGGGATAAGGAAGGGCTCTATAGCTGGAATACAAAGTGAATAAACTATAATTAATTTAAAAAGACGATCTGTAGAGTGATCAAAGAACAGGCAACTGAGTTCAAGACAGAGGTCCCACCTTTGGCACTGGAAGGAAGAACTTTCCCAACCAGGAATGTCGCTGTCAGAATTCAAGCTACATACTCTTCCACTGATACATAGAATGTCACACCTTCTGCATTCTTTGTCTTCATCTGTCATGGCCACCATGGTAGCTTTTAGTTGCTGTGTGTCTTCAACTAAGCATTAGACATTTGCTTATAGCTGTCAAAGCAGGAAAGCTAACTACAGACCAGGGCTAGCTAACCACTTAGAAATGTTGAGACAAATTTCTAAGGTCCACCTCAGATTATCAGTGCTAAATGTTTCTCACACATAAGAAACACTTGCAAGTCGTGTGAGTATCTGTGAACCAGTGGGCAGTTAGATATTATTTGACAAATTATTTTTTTATTAAAATAAACACCTCAATAGAACTATACCTTATTCTCCATCTTCAGGTATATTTTAACAGCAGCTTGCTTTTGTGTAGTTAAGGAAAATATGAAAATAATTGGTCTAGATAAAGAAGAATTATCTTTTAATGACATTAGTAGTCACAATTCAATGCCCCGAAAATGAATTGCTGCCACGTGCTTTCCTGTCTCTTGCAAAATGTGGTACAACTGGAAGAGCCCGGACCGTGATGTGAATGTGGCCTTGCTGGAATGCCTGCTTTATCGCTTAAGGACCGAATGAGTTCCTCCTCAGTTTCTGCGTGCAGTTTCTGCTTATTCGGGAAGTTTTGGAAAATGTAGGTCAGGTGCTGCCAGCATTCATTTCTTGCAGTTCCTGTGTATGCCAGCTTTTGCTGAAGATCAGCAGATGATAGCAGCATCGGGGTTTTATCCGCAAGAACACCACAGGTGAGAAGAGCTGCTGCTGGGAGCTTGTAGGTGGAAATGTATGGTCTTTCAGTCCACAAATCAGTATTTAATAGTTGCCATCTCTGTGTTAGGTCGGAGCCTTGATTTATGTTTGCTACATGAGCACCCATGCTTAGCTGGCTGGGGGAGGAGAGCTCTTTTCTGCCTTTTACTACAAAGGACACCATCCTATGACACCGTTCCTTCATCTGCTAAGGGTGTAGATTCGACCTCAGTGGGATCACCCTATGACTTCCCTCTAGTTTTCCTATTGCCCTACAGTCATTTGCTTCAGTTTGGAAATGATGGTATGAGGTGAGGAAGACAGTAGAAGTTACAGATAAGACAGTGTTTCATTGTTTCGGAGAGGCCCAGGCTCTGAACCCTGGAGCTTGTGTTGGGTTATAACAGAAGATAGCACAACTCTTCTTACCCCCAGCACCCTGACCTTTAACAACAATGCAGTGATGGCCAGTCACTGTTGTTCAGTTTGCCTTTGCTCTCCAAGGATTCCTTCCTCCAAACTTTGGTCCCCATTGTGACAGAATTCAACGGCAGTAGGGCCATTAAGAAGTGAATCTACTAGGAGGTCACAGGTCATGGAGCATCAATTTTGGAAAATCTCAAGTGATTCTGGGGGGAAGCCTCATTATTTCTTTCAAGGATGTTCTTATGAAAAAAGAACTGGCGTTTTCCCAGTTCTTAGTTTCCTATTTGTCTATGTGTCTATCTCTTGAATGTGCTGCCACCACTATGATGCTATCTGATGTGAGCATCTCACCAGAATGGGAGCTGGTGGTACCATGCTCTTGAGCCTATAAAACCGCAAATTAAA